GTTCAAAATCAGAATAAAGATGATTTTCTAGGTAGCTTCCGGACCGGTCTAACAAGCCGACCCAACAGCAAAATATTGTACCGAATGACAACAGGAGTTTGTTTAGTGTGGGCGTGGCCGGGCTGGCCCCACCTTCGTTGCCCCGGAGGGCCACTTTGCCGGCTCCGGAGTCCGCGACCAGAAGATACACCGTGTGATCGGTCTATTTCTGCAGCTCGTGACGAGGTGAACGTCAGGAATAACGTTGGAGCGCGAAAAATGGGAGCGTTCTGTCAGAAAAAAAGGTGCCCGAGGGCTGAAAGCTGGAAGCGAAGAAGCGTTGCCGAGCGGCCGGATCCGCTCCGGCCACGAACAGTCGCTTCCTCCCGCCCGTGAAATTACAGTGTTTACGCGAATTAGATTTCGGTTTCGGTAATTTTCAGTTAATAACGAAGCGAACTGGCCAACGAACGAACGAGCATTAAGTGCGGCTTCGAGCCCATTAATGCTATTATAATGTAAAAGGCTACCTACGCGTTCTCCTCGATCCTCCTTTCTCCCCGCTTCTCTCGGTTTCTTCTTCTCCTTCTCTATCATCCTCGGCGAGCCGTAACACGAACCTGAATGCACGCCGCCGCGCAGCACCGACGCGCGTATTCGATGTTTAATGGCAAATGCCAACAAAAATGAGAAGAAAGCCTCGCCGGGCATAGATCTCGCTTATCGTTCGCATTACGCCCAGGCTACCAGCATTATAAACTCATTTCCGATAAATCGGTTCGACTAAAAACCATCGGCCTCTCCTTCTTTGCGGGATCCATCGTTCCGCGGCAAAAGGGAACCGTTTCATCTAGTCACGAGAGAGTTCGAACAGTGAACAGTTAGAGGCAATTAGTTTGATAAGCCTCCGTAACGGCATAATGTACCCTACGGACGGCGGAAACGATCCAAAAAAAGATCGCGAACCGATCGCTCGGAAATCATCCCCTATTGTGGAACCGTTTCGAACTGCGAACTCCGTTATGTCCGTTAACTTCGAGAGGTTGTTCTCTGCTTGCAGATAAATCCTACTTCGTTACAATACAGCCTGTTTTCGGTTTCGTAAATTTTGATTCGATAATTTACTCCTTGCAATTATATCATTTAGTCTTGGATCATCTAGCTCTTAAAATTCTTCTTGTAAATGGGTTGAAACTCTTCTTCGTTTGAATCCAGCAATTATCACTAATATTGAATTAACTTCAACAATAACAAAGTTTTTACAATAACAAAATTTTCACTACTGTTTGGTGGCGCTGGAGAGAATTGGATACGGATTTTTCAATTCGATGTTTCTATCGTAGAAGAAAGATTCTTTTATTGTCACAAAAATTAATTAGCAAAATAATTTGCACATAATTCGAATCGGTGTAAAAAGACGCTAACAAAATTCATATTTTTATAAGTTTGACTGGACGATCATTGGTAGTCAATTTTTACCAGAGTGGCCTCCCTTAACCAGTTAGCTGTGTTTGACGAGTACACTCGTCATGGAGAAATGGCAATATTTTGTGACACGATGAGTATACTCGTCGCGCGTAAGAAGCAGCGACCATTGGCTATTCAAATCGTAATTTTAAGGAAAACAAAAACATATTCTCAAATTTCAAGATGTTCGGAATATTTTGAGGTCAATCCTGCACGAAGTTGTTTACATTGTTATAAAAATAAAATTAGGAAAGAATCACGGTATTGGGGTGTTCGACGTGCAAAGTGCGATTATATATTGTTCCTTGCTTTGTTAAATACCACTCTCTCTCTCTCTCTACAGCAGCAATTTGAATTTTTAACTTTTATAAGTATTCGATTATCCCTGGGTTTTTCATTTATCATGTATATGGTATATGTTAACGTCAAGTGAATAAGTAAATATTAGTAACGAAATTGTTAATTTTATCAAATAAAACCGTCTTTCCGATCCAATATTTTAACAGCGACACTTACATTGTGTTCGACGAGTATACTCGTCGTCGCTTGATTCTCGCGACGCATACAGGTGCGCGCTCTGAAATGGAGGCGTCACAGCTAACTGGTTAAGAGGTGACGATATAGTCGTAATTCAGCTTTCTGCCCGTTTCACCAGCCCACACAGGAGACAAACATCGAAGCCGGGCACTTCGTGATCGCCGTGTGGCGGGAAGATATTTAAATTCAAAACGATGAAAAAATTGACCCCTACGAAAGGCCGCCGAATGAACCTAATAATTAGGACTCGGGATCGGAAGGCGAGACATCCGGCGCGACGAGCAACTTTGACACCGGGCCGGGTCGGGCCAGCCCCGTTTTCCGTTTGGAAATTGCTCGGGGTCCCGGGTCCCGGGCCCCGTCGATCCCGCTGGTCGGATCGAATTTCGATAATGACGAATTAAGAGACAAACGGTCTCGGCGGATTTCATTAGGCCGACGACGCGACGGGACGGGATGGGACGGACGGGACGGAACGGGACGGGGTAACCGGTTCGCGACGGGAACAACCGGGGCCGCGTTTGCAAATTGCGGTGGGGAATTATCAGTAGCAGCTTGTAAGCACGAGGCGGAGGATCCTTCGGGCCGTGGTATGCCGAGGTATCGATCGCGCGTGAAAATGATTCTGGTCGTTACAAGCGAATCGAACGCTGTTACATGATCACTCACGGCGTCGAACGTGCCGAAGTGTGGGCTCGCAGGGATCATTAATGCGGCAAGGTCGGTGAAAGGAATGATAGCTCCGTCCTCCTCCGTGTCTCCAGGTCTCCTTCACCGTGTTCCCCGGTGTACAAGCTGGCTCGGAAATCGTCGAGACCGATCCTCCTCGGAACTCCGCTATCGGGATTCGTCGGGGTTTCGATCGGCGATCGTCTTTTAACACTAGAAACTACCGAACCAGTCAAAATGACTGGTTCCTGGCGTTTTCTTTTACAGTTTCTGATACTAGAGAAACGTTTTTAGAAGAAACTTTTAGGTACATTTCTTTATTGGAGCATATACGGTAATGTCTCCCTTACCGACGCTCAGATTGCGCACAAAAATTGACAATTTGGGAAGAGAAGATACGATTATTCGAGCCTTGCAACTCGTTTTTATAGTTGTTGACAATCGATAACCATAAGAAACGAGCCACAAGGCTCGAACAATCGTATCTCCTTTTCCAAAATCGTCCATTTTTGTGGACAATCTGAGCGTCAATTAGAGAGACATTGCTGTATTGTAATATGAATCGTGCGACATTGTTCTCTTCGAAAAAGTAAAATTGACAATTAATTCGATATGCAGCAAATTCTCTCCAATTGTCCCTCAGCTCGTGAACAAAAATGGAGAATTTGAGAATAGGAGAAGAGATACGATTGTTCGAGCCTCGCGGCTCGTTTTTATAGTCGCCGATTAAATCTCCTCTCCCGAAATTGCCAATTGTCGTTTATAAGCTGAAGAACAATTAGGGAGAGTTTACTGCCCTCGGAAACGAGTTATCGAGTTCTGATAAAGGAAATGATGTTGAAAAATCTTCAAATTATATCCTCAGATTTTTGGGTCTCGATAGCATCGCTAGTTTTTGAGCGACAGTTGCTTGAGATCTGAACTGTGTCCGAGCGTGACAGCGGAGGGTTGATGTTGTTGAATGTATTATATAAGGACTCTTTCGTAGGAAACGATTGACTAAATTTCTCAATCGCGGCATAAATTGTAATAAAAATATTGAAAAGTTTAAATAAATTCGAACTCGTCATCGTTATGAAGCAACGCGCGCCAGTCACGTTAAAGACTCTGTGTTAAGTAAGCAACTTGTGCCGTCTGCGAAACGGACATCGCTTAGCCACTAAGCCAGTGGAGTCACAGAATAAATAATTGTTCGAGATACTCGAGAGTTCATTCTCGCGTCGAATCGTCGAAACGAGGACAATACAGCCGGCTCTGGCGGAAGCCAAACCGCGAGGATTTCCCCGACCGTACGCGGAATCCGATCGGATCGTTGATAAGTAGTCGGCAGCGGCTGCCAACACAAATCAGTCAAAAATTGTGCGTCGGTCAGCACGCTTCCGATTTCGCGGCTGCGACGAAAATCCTATTCTACGACGTTTCCGTTCGAGTTCCGCCATAGTAACGCAGCCGATAGTACGCACGATTCTCTCACACGGTTTATAAAACGCATTCATGTATTCCGCGTTGTTGGTGCTACTCGGACTCGTTAACGTTCATCTGTTATCTGCCGCATCCAGCAACGCGATGTACGAATAGCTTATTTGTTTATTTATTTATTTATTTATTTATTTGTTGTACGGCCAGAAAACATGTTCGTATATAATATGGAAAGACATCCGTTGGGTTGTGACACAGAAAAAAAACTTACGGAGAAAGAAAGAAATTTAATAGAAGTACAAGTTGCGCGTCGTACAAGACAAAATGGAGACTAATGTAGGGTAAGTGTGTCAATTACTGTGCCATCATCTGATCACTGTGCACTTACAATAATTTTACCGATATTTAAGATCATCATGAGAGATAAAAGATCTTGAATTTTTCCAATAAAATTTGATCCGTCATTTTCGCAATCGAAACGAAACTTTCGCTTTAAAAAACGCATTAAAAATGCCGGAACCATATCAAAATTCGTTATGCACATTTTATTAAATATTTCGCTTATGAAACAAATTTATACTCGCATAAAAGGCATCAACGTGTAATTGAAATATTCTGGAACAAATAATTGAGACACGTGTAATTGAAATATTTTGAGACGAATGATTGAAACGCGCGTAATCGAAATAATTGAAACTATTTAATTCGCCCAGAAATTACGGACGTCGCTTTAATGGCCACAGTAATTGATCCACTTACCTTCAGACAGTCTTACGACCGGGACACATAAAATCTGCCGAAAAAGCCCATAAAATACGAGTAAACATTTTGGAGAAAATGGCCACCCATAGGCGTTATAATCGTGGATAGCCGGCATAGTGGCTACATAACGGGCGTCGTTTAACCCGAGGACGCATTCGTGTTTGCAGATCATTCGACGCGAGGAGGAGGCGTCGAGCCAGCTGTCCCGCAGACGAGTCCTGCGAGCAGCACGAGCAGCTCGAGCCAGGTGAACCAGGCGAGTCAGCCAGCTCACCAGCCAGCTCACCAACAATCGGTACCACCGCCTACAACGACGACACCTCAATCCGCTCAAATGGGAATCTCCACGGATGAGGTGAGGCCGGCCGAGGAGGAGAGCAACCACCCCAGAGCAGCGCCGACCAGCCCTGAAAGCGAAGCCGAGGTCGACGACTTCGTTCCAAAAAGGAAGCAGCGCAGATATAGGACTACCTTCACCAGCTTCCAGCTGGAGGAACTCGAGAAAGCTTTCTCGAGAACTCATTACCCGGACGTGTTCACCAGGTACGTAAACGACGCCTCCGATACATTTCTTCGCGATCCCATAAACCTACGGCGCGCCACCGTGTTGTCCTAGGCTCCGGCTCCGTTTGCTACCGGACTCCACTCGACAGCACACCGTTTCATTCATAATATTAGGGTGTCCCATAAGTTCTTTCCTTTTCTCTGATGCGAAATGATTACACGATATTTGTTGTTTAAGGTTGATTTATCGAGTTATACTCAATATGAGTTACACTGTATATGAACCGTTATGCTCTATTACCTCCTTCCATCTTTTAGGAAGCCTCGTCATACCGTCTTTCCAAGAGTATTGAGGCTTATTTGCAAAATATTGTTCAAGGTGCGTTTTTATTTCGCTTACGAATTTAAACCGTTTTTCACGGAGAGAATTTTTTCACGAGAAGAACAAGTAATAATCGGATGGAGCAATGTCTGGGGAGTATGGAGGATGAAATATAACGTCCCAATCGAACTGCAATAATTTTTGTCTTACGACCAACGCAACATGCGGTTTTGCGTAGTCGCGATGAAAAACGACGGCCGCGTCGGTTCGTCAATTCCGGCCGTTTTTCTGCCATGGCGGCTTTCAATTCATCGAGTTGATTACAATATTTAGCTGAATCGATCGTTTCACCTTGAGGAAGGAGCTTCTAGTAGACTACACCTTTCCAGTCCCACGAAATGCACGAAAGAACTTTCTTCGGACGAAGTCCTGGCTTCGCAACAATTGAGGGACTATTTCCTTTCGACCAAGTTCGTTTTCGAGGCACATTTTGGTATAAAATCCAAGTCTCGTTTCCAGTGACAAGCCTCTTTAAGGGTGCGAAGTTCTAACGAAGTTCAAAATTATTTCTTGAATACGCCCATTGATCGAATAAAATCGTAAAATCATGTTACAAGTATAGAAAACGTTCTACTTAGCGTACGATTATCTTCAACGTCCAACCACGAATGCCTCTGACATCGCGAGTCGTCCGAGACTCGACCGACGTTTAATCCAACGTTGAGAAGCAAATCACAGTCGTTAATGCGACGAAGTAAATTTCGTTCTGTAGGAACACGTGGAACCCATATGTCAAGTTCTGAAATTAAACCAAGACATTTCACGTGATCATGAACGGTCGAATTCGACAAATTTAACCTCTCAGCAATGCCTTTATTTAACACGTTCCGTGCCACGTGTACCATCGATGGTACACGCTTGCATGTTTACTTAGTGAACTGAACAAATTGTTTACAAGAAATTTAGAACCGAAGAATCAATTTCCACCGCAAGAATGGGCGTTGATAAGTTTTTGTTACGTTGTTATGTGTACGAGAATTAATAATTGCACGTAATACATCAAGTTTTAGTAAAATATCAAAGTGTGAAGATTCGAGTAAAAAAGCTCGGCACGGAACGTGTTAAAGACAAAATAAAGGCATTGCTGAGAGGTTAAATTGAATGGGCCTTCCAGAACGTGGTGCATCTTCAACATCGAAATTGCCGGAACGAAATTTTGCAAACCAATTTTGCCATTGTCGTTCGGTCAATACATCTTCTCTATTCACATCGCATAATTTTCGCCTTGCTTGAACCGCATTTTTACCTTTTCGATAGTAAAAGAGTAAAATATGCCGAAAATGCTGCTTTCGCGATTTTCCATCTTTGATAGGGCACCAAACGAAAACTATTGCCAAGAATCAAATAAAATTTTTAACAAACAAGCCTTACTGTATCAGCTGTCAAAATATATAATGATTATGCGGCTTAAGTGTGAAGTTGGCTGTGAAAAAATACAATTAGGTCCTCTGTTATGGAAAAAACGAAATTCCTTTCCGAACAACCTGATATACAATGTATTCGGATGCTGGCAAATCTCGGAAACAAAGTGCGCACGAGGATCAGGCTGGTCGAGAGTATATAAACGAGTCTTTCACGCGACTGATAGGTTGTCGGCGTGCCTCCCGCAGGCCGAACCGATGGAAGAGGTGTCTAGTCGCGTTTGTCAGGTTCCAGGCTCCCCGTGTAACGGGATCAAGATACAGGAGGAACTCGCAGAGCCGGCTATTAGTTCCTGCCGGGCCCGAAATATTTCGTGACGGAGGCTCGCGCCGCGCCGGTCGCCGTCTGCACTCCCGTATTTATTGGGCCCGTTTCCAAACGAGATCGTCAACGGCGCCAACCTTTCTCTCGCACAAGATTTGCTTTCGTTCGCGAATTCGCGCACGGGCCGCCGTCGGTCCTTGAGCGGGATCGTAAAACCGACCCGCGCGTTTTTTCGGGGGCCTGTTCTTTTAACGGAACGATCTCCGTCGAACGTCGGTTCGTTGCTTCTGTTCGGTTTTAACGGGATATACGATTTCGCGAGAAGATAACAATAGTAATAATAATAATAATAATAATAATAATAATAATAATAATAATAATAATAATAATAATATATGTTGCGAATCAACATTATTCTTAGCACTATGCCGTCCGCAGATCTTAGATATGATTCTTTTGTTTGACGCCGGCATAATAGCTTGGAAATTTTAGATTTTAAAAAAGATTTCGAAGATGGCGGTAATATAAATTCCTAAAATTAAGATGTGTCGTTCAAGAATTTTCGTACTTAATTCTTCGTTAAATAAGCACAATTCTATAGTTAGTTTTCTGCCTTTTAACACCCAAGAAATATAGTTCAAATGTTATTTCAATTTTTTTAAATTGCACCAAAGTGGTACCACCGGCATACAACAGATAGTTTTTGCATGGCATCGCCGTGGTGCCACCGGACGGCATAGCGTTAATTTTTAATAATTCTAATATAAGTTCTTAATATATATTCTCAATTATATTCTTTATATTTACAATAAAGAATATAAACTATAATACAACTCGATACAATTATATTTCAGATCTTTCAATTTGAAATGTTGCTCGTTCGACGGTCCGATCTCGACTCTCTTCGATTGTCTGTTGGCAACACTCTTCCGTGGCAAACCCTATCTTCCATTATTTTTTAAGGAGTTGTTCACAACAAGGCAGTTTCACATTACAGCGACTTGATTCGGACAAGTCGCCGTAACAACAATAATAATAATAATTCATCATGTATACGGGTAGAAAAACCCTTTGTAACACACAGAGAGAGAGAGAGAGAGAGAGAGAGAGAGTAATAACAAATTAGAGAGATTTTACATAGCAATTGCGTAAGTTCGAGCGAAGAGAAAAAAAGGAAAAAAGAACAGAAAAAAGAGACAAAATATCGAATTAAGTTGATTTACATATATATGTGTATTTGTGATTAGCGGTTTAAAATTCACAGACAGCAAAGGTAGATAGACAGAAAATCATGAATCTGATGATGCAACATTAATTTATTCGAGCCACAGATTCTGATACATATCTGCTTCAATTTGCTGATCCGCTCATTCTCCATCATCTCTTATTGTACAAACGGGTGTCTCACCCGTATACACAAACGACTTAAATCAGAATTAATTGAAATAACGTAATATATTAATTTATATGAGGCATAGGTTGTCAACTCGGTGCAGAAACTCCATCGGTGATCTCGAAAACCGTGCGGAATATCGTAACGAAAGAACGCGGCGGGAACACCCACATCGACGAAATGAGAATAACCGTGACTATAAAAACCACGGTGTACGTCGTCGAAAAGAACCGCATAAATTCGCGAATAAATCAGGGGCAGCAGCAGTATTCGGAGGAGGAGGAAGAAGGACGCGGACGAACGCGAAGCGACGCGACGCGACGCGTACAAATCGCGCGCGCGGTGGCGTGCACGGGCCCCATAAAAAAGGTCGTCAGGATAACGAACGCGCGATGAAACGCGAGACGGCTGAAATTATAGACAAACGTCGCATAACGACGTCGAACGATCGTTAACGCAAGCGGCGGACCCGCCGCGGAATCCGGGAAAGCCGGCCGAAGATGTATCGATCGTCGAAACGGCTCGCGCCCTGCCATCGATCATGCGATTTTTCCGGACGGCGGCGGCGCGTCGTCGTCACGGAAATTCCACCGGCGTCAAAACGATAGTTTCGCGTTATTAAGTTCCCGCCGGTGGGATCCAGTTGCCGGCGACGGGGCGCAGCGCAATCTATCCTCTCTCCAGGCTTCCTTCTCCTCTCCTTCCTTCGGGTCGCTCCTTCCTCGTTCACCTGTGGCTCACCTGGGTCCGAGCCGCACGGAAAGGAACGGAACGAAACGGAACACCCGGTAGGTAGGTAACTAATAGCGGTATAATCGCTCGTAATAGGTCCGGTCCTGCGGAGCCGCGGTATGGGTTCTCGTAATTAACGAACGTTAAGGGGAGGATATGCAGAGAGGACGTCGTACCGCATGCAGATCGACGCGACGGCGTGTCCATTCGATTTCGTCGGGAGCGCACGTCGACGATATCGCCACTTCGACCAGGCCACCAGCTTTATTGCCTCTTGTCCTTCCTGCGAACGACTGATTGACGCCCTTCCATCTCCATTATAATTGGGATTCGATTAACCCCCTTGGGTCAAGTCGATCCGCCGGCGGTCTTCTCGTCTTAACGACAGGCGAAACTTGTATCTCCGCCGCTACTCTCGAGTATTATTCAATTATAATTGACGACGTTTTAGACACATTGTCTGCCGTTCGTGATCGTCCGTCGGCGATTCGTTCAACTTCTGCAAACACGCTGCTCGAGAGTGTTATAGCATTGAAAAATTGGCCAACTTTGACGGACGATAACTCCGCGATGAAACGTCGTAGGATGATGATTTTTCTTTGAAATTAAAGCTTGAAACCTCTGCTCCAAGACAATATTTCCTGGTTGTAAATCGGACGCGTCCTCGCCGTTGTGACACTTTGAATACGAAGCCGTGTTTGTCACATTGACGACACGCACGTGACAAAAATGCAAGGGTTATTTTAAAGTGCTGCAACTTTGCGCAGGAAAATCGCAGCCGCGTTTCTTTTTCCTTTTTTTTAAAGGTGAAGGATCGAACTTTATTCGACTGTGAATGGCGTCTCT